TTATCGAACCATCCTGATTCGAGCAAATTGTAGTACACTGGCTCGTACCTAGTTTTCGTCTGCTTGTGTTTTATGCCTAATAACTTAGAACGTTTTGAGCGTGGATCAGGTCTGACTAGTACTGTTAACTCGCTGACGAAGGAAACCATGCGTATAGATAATGAGTCTCTTTATGCGTGACTGAGAACATAAAATATCTCGTCAAGGTCTCACGAATAACCAGTTGTATATTCGGTACTTCGAGAGTACATGTGTGCGAAATGCAAGGAGAATCCTTATAAAGAACTTACCCAAAGTTTCCAAAAACCGAAAAGATACGTGTATGTTTCCCAAATGGCAAGGTACAGAAAGATGAAAATTAAACCGTACATTGCCGTGTTTTGTAAATACTGAGGAGCAGCGATGAACAGTAATAAGTACATGTACTTACGATGACAAAACTTGTACGACAACTAAAGAATTTATTGATTTCTGAAATACAGCATGCTGTAAATGATAGTGTTTATCGGGAATTCAATTAATTATGCAAGTTACGCTTGTGCCTATACGTATATGCACCTAAACGAATGAACACGAAACCTTAAAAGCTTCAAAAAGTGAGAGCGATATCTATTTAAGCTGGATCTGACCATGTTACAATAACTCACATTATGACCCACAACTAATAATATCATGCTTCTCAAGCCGTAGTCTGGAAAACAAGTAAAGCTGTGCCATGAAACAGCAGTACTATGTCACTTATGACCAAAGTGGGTTCCTAAACATTCCCAGAAAAAAGAGCCTATCAAAAATGTTATCTCACTTTCGATCCTACACAGCAATCAAGGGAATTTAACCGAATGTTTTGGCAAGAAAAGTTGACGCAGGACTACTTAGCCTAGTTATGTTTCGCGTTTAGTTAGTTATTCTTTTTTGGTTATTCTCTGGGGTGTTCACGAGGCTAGTGCTTTCCTGAGCTGACTTGATTCTAAACTATAAGTGTTATGCAAACTGGGTGTTGCCCGCCTGAAACCACTGCACTCCATGACGCGTTTGGCACGTTGTGCCAAGCTTTGCCCGTCGTGACCCGATGGCCTAGGGGTGACGGTCACAACTAGCATCCATATGGTCCCGCGTTCGATGCCTGCTATCTCTATCTGATGAGAGGAAATAACCTCGAAACGCCTCATGGAATGCAGTGGTTTCAGGCGGTCAACACCCCATTTGCTGCTGCTTCATCAGCTACGGTCCTAGTGATCGAATGGCCAAAGTTCACTTCAATGGGAATCGCGGTCCACTTTGAAATTGCTCGTCGCAATCCATCCACACAACGTGTACTTCAAATTGACTTTCCAATCTATAAGTGTTATGATTCAAAATAGTTGCATTTACACCAAATCTGCTCACTTAAATCAAAACCAGCCCAACGAAGTTGGTATACAAAGCAAACAAGTTTAAATTCTTCCTAAAAATTATTGATACATGTCAAGAAAAACCACAGGTAAAAGCTGTATAGTGTCCATGTGATGCCCTAGGACATTTTTTAGCAAACAAAGTAAAATGATCATACAAAGGTTGAAAAATTCACCAAAACCATTAGAAATTCAACCTTTTATGCTTCAGATTCACTATTTACAAATGGGAAAATATTATTTGCGTGTACTATTTGCGGTGTAGGATTATCTTAGTTTATGTGTTCCTATTTCTTCTTAGCTTTCAGCGTTCCAAATCTGTTTTGCAGAATTTGTCTTTAGCGTGCCCTGAGAAAGTTATCACACATAATACACTTTGTTACCATGACTGTTTTTGGCATCGAACTCATAGATATTATTTTCTCTGCAAATACCGAATCCAGTTCAGGAGCAGCAATAAGAGATATTTCTATGTAGCTGAATCCTAAATCCCTTAAGGTACAACAACATAAAATGTTGGCGAGCATCCTCTATAATTTATGTCGGCAGGATGGTTATTCAGGCTTCATTTTAATTCCGACACCGACGGCGCATCGATTTCGTGAGAAGGTAGGTTGTTCTATACATTTACTGCTCTCCGCTCGTAAAAGATTTGGTGAGCACCCCGCTTTGTATAAGGTACGGGAAATTTGTTCCAGAGTCTTCGTGTGCTACTTAGTGTGTGGATATGGAAAAGCGGTATCAACATGGGGTAAGCACCAAGCTGCAATATCCAGTGCGTGATGATGAGGTCAACCTGTACTCGATGACAAGTCAGGGTGTAAAATCTTCGCCTTTTGCATCGGTCTTCTCACAGCTAACCTCGGAAACTGGGGATGATCTTGGTGGCCAAGCGTTGTATCCGCTCACTGCTTTGTACTTCGCTCCAGCTGATAGGGCAGTATGATGATGATCCGTACTTGTATGATGAAAATGAACAGGCGAGTAGCAGTCTTTTCTTGTCAAGTGCAGAAGCTACGTTTGAACGAGCAAGATTTATGAAAGTCCTTTTTGATAAAGTCTATTTGGGGAGTCTAAGGATTTTAGGTCGCAGAATGAGAATTCGCCGAGGTATTTCACGAAAGGTGTAACGGTTGTCTAGCCACAGAGCAGGTTCGACCGTGTTCACCCTTACCCACCTCAGGTATATCGACTTGACTGCTCCTATAGGAAGCATGACGTCTGCAGACTACATGAAGTGGGTCAAAGGCACGCGGAAACAAGTCAAAGTCAACAGGTGCAATGATTACTATTCACATCTCCAAGTTATCTGCAAACAACGCACAAGGCATAGGAAGAAGCTGGGACAAATCGTTTGTATGGATCAGGAACAACGTGTGCCGCAGTACCCTGTCTTGGAGCACGCCACTGTTCGGGAGGTATAAGTTGCTTGAAAATTCTCATTTAAGTCTAGAGAAATTAAGACCATCTGGTGGGCACTTGCTTTCAATTATTGGTCATCAAATCATTACAAATGTATACAGGCTAAGGCACAAAAATCGACCAAGTCAGTACAAACGAATAAATCACATAAAGGTCTATGTAAGAGCTGAGAAAAAGAATTAGATCTTAGTGGGTTAGTTGTTTGCTACCGCGCCTGACCAAAGGCAGTCGAGCTGAGCGTCTTCCGTCTTCGCTGGCCAGGGAAGCTGGATAGCCTGGACTAGTTCCTCAGGGAGTATAAGGACAACTGGAACAAGCGAATGCAAATAGCTTCAGCTGTCGCAAATGTACGCAGGCGGTAACCTTTCGGTCGGTGCGGCGTTTGGATAACTGCCGCGCAGTTCGACCAATATACGCTGCGCCAAGGCGCACCCGAACTGATAAACTACCGTTGAGGTGGTCAGCATCGGCACCTTGCTTTTGTTTTGTGAAGGAATGAGTGGTTTTGTTGAAGGTTGAGGTTGCTGGGTGGGTCGACTTTAAGGCGGCCGAAAAGCATCTGGTTAGACGCTCGGGAGCCATGTCTCCTTTGAATGGTAAACGAATACATAGCTCTTGCTTTTCTGCTCTTAACAATAGCAATTGTTTGGATTTTTCTTGGAAGTTCCTTAAAATAAATCTATCGGGAGAACCGTTTTCACTTGGAGTATGCTGTATGAACATCAACTCAACATCTAGGGTGCCTTCCGTACGGAGCCCACCTGCTCTCTAGGTAAGGCAGTAAAAATAGTTGCGCTTGTATCTCATAAAAACAACACTATGAGTTGGTGTACTCATCTATCCATGTTGTCTATCTGTAGAACTGATGCTGGATGGATCCGTACGGTCTCCTAACTAACAATACATCGATATATGATAGCCGATTATCGCTTCCCTTCTCGTAACTCAACGGCACTGTTGCATGCACTTGGTTGAAGTGATCAAGTATTTCACCAATTTTAACATGTTTATCCACCACAAAAAATATATCTTCCATGTATCAAGGATAGCAGACAAAAGTCTATCGTAGGTCGCATTTAGGTTCTATCTAGCTTTGCCATGAAGATATCCGCTATTAGCGGTTCAAGGGGATCCCATAGCCACGCCGTCCTTCTGCTGGTAGTATTTCCTGTTGAATAGGAACTGCACGTTCCAGGTGCAGCGAAACAATAGTCCTTTGAGCTCACACATATGTATACACACTTTTATTCCTGACCCGGCAATATAGTGGCCAGTGTAATCGATCGTCTTAAACAGTGGGACATTGGTCAGAAGATTACTGACCTGGATCCTTTAGCTTTTGCCAAGAAATGAATCACTGATCCGTTGATGTAGCAAACTGCCAACACTGCACACTCTCAGCATGTGGATGAGGACCACTTGAGTTATTTTTCATACGCCTTATTGAAGTCAATGCAAATGAACTCGACTAACTTTCCCTGGTTCACTCTTGGAACCGCTCCTTCCTCGCCAAGAGCAGGTTGGTAATGTATGAGTGGTCTTTTACGAAACCATGCTATGCAGGCATTAAGAGTCTATTCGACTCTAGAATCTGCAAAAGACCGTTCTTCACGATCTTCGCAAGTATCTGCCAAAATCGCATTATGTTAGATCAACCAGTAGTTATTCACTGCTTGTGTCAGCGCCTTTCTGTATTGGCTTTATAACTGAGCTCAGTAGTAAACATGTGGACAATGATCTGTTAAAGGGCTCGGTCACGGAAAGCGAAACCGATGGCGGAAAATGACTTGAACATTACTAGGTCACTTATTGTTTGGTGCATTTACCATAATCTCGTAATTTACTGAGCTCCAGCCATTATCGAAGTTGAATGTTGCTCTGTCAAACTTACAATATATTCCTCAAGATTATGCAGGCATATACTAGGATTTTCTGCGTCTTGCCGTGCTCACTGAACATCTGCTGTTTTTCCTGACTTTCTATCTACCGGTATTGAAATTCTCTTGGGTTGCGGGAGCATGCAAATATTGTACTACGTGCTTGGCACTTGGCTTCGGAAGAATAGGGGTGCCAGCAACGAGTAGCCAATGAGCGATTTAAGCCTTCACAAGCGCTGAGAGCTAAAAGTCAACAAGTCGATTATCTAAACTCGATTAAATGTCCTCGCATGTTTCTAACCATTTGCTTTTAGGAGGTGATGTTTAGCCACAGACTGGAAAGGGTAGAAGTGAAGAGAAACAAATAAAGACGTTGACATTTAATCGCCAGAATAAAAGGAGAGTTTTGAACCTTCAAGAATGCAATCACTTGGTATGTACGCAACTGTAAAGAGTGTACAAATATAACTGTCAATCAAATTCTAGTATCAATAGACAAGTGGTGACAAATTGATTTTTATGAGCACAACGTCTACACTTACATTGGGACGAACTCCTTCAGGTGGGAAATAATGCAGTGGACGACACTGAAGGTTTTTCAAGCTGGAACTAAATTTCTCCAAGACTTGACAATTGTTTGAGTAGAATGACAATCCTTTGGTTTTCGACGCAATCAGCTGCTGTTCGTTGAGCCTCCTACTTAACTAAATTCATTAAAGCATGAAGGGTAAATAGTGTAAAGTCATGTAGACGCCATTAGTAGATTGCACATAGGTAATAATAACTTGATTTTTAAAAGTTTAGCACGTTCTACACAAAGTTGCCTTGTTCATAGGAGATGTATTAGAACACATCGGAACACCATCTCCGAATCCTTCTACAGAATCTCCAGAAGTAAGGCATTGGTACTTCAAGCATGGATCAAATAGATATTTTTCTACTTGAACGCCGCTTGGATGTGCTAGTCTGGGGCTCAACCCCTGACACAACTTTAGTAGAGTGTAGTGAGCCTCAAGACTCAGTTTTAGGGCCACAGTTATTATTGACTCAAAACAGTCTAACAAGCGTAGGTGCTTCGGATCTGACACTCTTCGCAGCCGATATTAACCGATCAGGATATCTGACGATCACGAATATCTCCTACACAATCTCGAAACGCCATCAAGTTTTTCAGTTCATAATATCTAGACATTCAACATAAAAGACCTTTGTGTTTTTCTGTACCTTATACACATACCTACATTGTAAACATGCAGAAAGCGTGTTGTCTTGTCTTACTGAATTACCAATACGGTTCAAAACAACATGAACTTTATTCACAGCGTAATTATTATTTCGATTTCTAAGAAAAGTACCTACAAATATTCTAAATTAAGTACAGAAATTACGTACTTCTTTAAGTCGAGTATGACATACCAGCATGGCAAACTCGGTTCAAAAGTAAAACTCAAGGTGCTAAGCAACATTCTTCGTTAAGCACCTGCGCTACTTACCTCATCAGCAAAGACCGAATGTATTAGGACTTATCTGTCATACTTAAGGATGGCTTAGGGCCCTTATATAATTATACCATACATTCAGTGACACCAACCACATATTTTGCAACATAATGAAACCTGGAGACAGCCAACTAAACATTAGCGAGCATTACAGCCATCCAGAGTGCCAAAAATATTACTTTCCATTAAAGCTTTTCAAGCATAGAACGCTCTTCCAAACTCAGTTGTTTTCACCCCCTCATCAAATTGGAAAATGAACTTAGCTTCCCAACATTTGGTGCATAAACGGTGCTGTTTTTCAATATCTAGGAATTAGGCTCTGAATTGGTTGGGATTTCATGATTACAAAATGTTTTGAATACAAATTGTTTTCTACGCTTGTAATGTGGTAAAGTTTCGGTCTTGACACAATACTTCGCCTGAAAAAGCTCTTCCATCCACAACGAAACAATACCACAATAAAAACCTTCAAAAATCTATTCGTGCCCAAAACGTTCTGAAATCATGTGCTATTTTTGCTTACCACTACAGTATTCTTACTAAATTTATCTGCCCCTTAGGTATAAGAAGAGATGTATGAAAACGTTTATTTCGCCAACGAAAAGCGTCAGCTGCAGTTGATGCCAAACTGTTTCTCAAGTTAATTTTAGCTCCTAGTCTTCAGGCTGTCAAGATGTAGCTGATGAAATGCGTGACGCCTAAACTGATACGTTTAACCTTTGGTGTATTGGTTCCCAATTGCAGTTCCACTGGAATTGTGGGTGTATGGCATTGTACTGTAAACATGCAACGTATTTGATGCATGGAACGGACTTACGTGTCTTTCAGTGAAACTGTACTACTGATTACTTTTAGGTAGCATAGTTTGAACCAAATATCTCAGTTTTCAGTGTGGTAATCTTTCGTCTTCTTATCATGTTTGGCAGCATCCGGCACACAATCTTTCAAGCTGCACTTCAGCAGCATTCCAGTCCATCGAATTTAGGAATCCTGCAAGCCATACGTACATGTGGTGGTGACATGGCAGTAGCTCGCTTCACTCTGGAGAAAAGCAAGCGATGAGCGATGGTGTACTCCGTGTTCCCAAGCAAAAATCAACGCACCTGGTAACCGGTACTCAAGGTAGCGATATTCAACAGGTAATCCCCCGACAAACTTCGCATCGAATTCTACCAGACTAAGGATATCAACCAGCAAACACTGTGAAACGCACGACTACACATGATTGGCGGCATCAGGTTCCGGCCTTGCCTGTCACTGTGGCCTCCATATGACTGTCACAAGACACCCGCGCCTACAGAGGGACCATGGGTGGCTGGCGCTGCGTCACACACGGTTCCATCCACGCACCCCATCTCCATTGTAAACCCGAAGGAATAAGATCGGAAGGCATGTGGATGGCAGCCCCGTTTCATCAACGAAGCCAGTCCACACTTTTTCAGCATGTCTTCCAGCAACATGCTGGTCTATGTAATTTAGGAATCATGCCTACCAGACGTATACAAGGAAGTGACTGGGCCTTAGTCCACTCCACACTGTAAGGAAGCCCTCTTTGAGCCTAACACAGCCACGAGGGCCATGCACCCCTTCCCTCCCCCCAACAACCATCCACTGTCTACTGGAGCCAGTAATCGACGTGGAGGGTGTTAGATAGGCAGGTACCTTGTCAGCATTTACATCAAGAGCAGCCACAGCGGGGATATCAAACAACCAACATAGAATTTAGGAAAAGTAAACACGCAAATTTGACAGAGATTATGCGTCAGAGTAACAGAATTGAACAAACCAAAATAATGGAAATCGTCTGTATCTAAATTAAAAGACCTCGATTGACATATCATTCACGCATTTCGCTGACAAGACTGTTGGTGATTGACGGGTCGAAATTCAGGTAGAAAGCCGTTATAGTTGTCACTGAAACTCCATTTGCCACTGCGGATCATTTGTTCCGACTATGTCAACAAATGCTCGGTAGACAAATCATGTGCAGCATGACAGTGTGATACAGTAGAACCTCCAACTTGAACACCAGTGTATGTTGACTATTTCTATAAGTTGACAGCTTTTTCATGGATTAACCTCCCCTGTATAAACCTTATCGAAACAGATCCCCGTACGTTGGCCGCCTCTGTGTCGTATGTTGATCAATAGGGGCATAACATCCACTACGAAGTTAACCTCTATAACTTGACCATGTGAGAGTTTACCGTGCAATGGCCGCCGATCGTTTGTTCAAGCAACAAAGCGTATGTAGCAGGATTTTGCAATGTGCGAAGTCTATCTGACCCACAATCACTGCAACTGACGGCTTCGCAGAAGTTGAAATATACCGCATGTTCTATGTCAGCGTATCCGGGCACTTGTTTCTAACCCACCCCACTGTGTTCACTCGAGTATTTACCTCCTCAATGTGTCCCAACGGGTCCGCGTCCAAAAATGTATCTTGAAAGAATCGTACGAATTCTTTTCACACACACATGCACCCATCAAGCCTACTGTGGAACATCTGCCCCCGCACTGCACAGGTAGCAATCAGGGGTCTGAGGGTCTGTGTAACGGACGTGCCTCTGCGCTTGCATGCTCGTGCCGGATTTATGGAATTTTCTTCAGTATTTCTTGGAATGATTATTATCAATTACCTTAACTGGACGTGACCTATCAAGGCACAAACGTTTGTGAAGAATTGTTGTAATAAAGTATAAAAGTGGCAAGTCATCCATTTCGGAATCCTTGAAGATGAATATTCATCACTAAAGGAGAACGACGGTGAGCAAAGCCTATGAATTCTGTCATATTTTATTAAGCATCTTGTACTCCTTCATCTGTCATAGCTTGTTTAGTATACCCTTAGCGACTTGAGATTTTTTGTACAAGATATTTAGACTCGAGTTTATTCCTTAATTTCCTCCCCAACCGCTCTCCTATTATCATGTTTATTCACTTTTCGATTCCCACAATTATGGGAACACTGATCCATACTTTTTCTGCCATGAAGTCCTACTATGTAATGGATTCTATTAGTTGTATCCTCCTACTCGATATTAATGCTTGACTACCCCAGTCACATTGTATCACCACGTTACCATGTCATCCAACCCACAGGCATCGGACCTATCTCGGCTTTCACTGAGTTTTGGAATTCAGTTGTCTAGTTTCGACCCACTTTCTTATATATTTAACTCGCTAATTCAGTGCGCCGCTTATTCTTCTATTCAGAGTAGAAATCATCATAGAAATTTTTAAAATTTCTTATTACCTAATACTGCTCAGTATTCCCATGCGTGACGTTAAATGCCCCCACTCCGACGCACATAGACGCCAAATAGGCCTGAAATAAATGAGAATACCTGTAGCTCGGGGTGTGGATGCGGATTTTGAGCAGTTCTCCGAGCTGGATAATTATTTTGCAGACGTTTCGTTGCCTGACTAGGCAACATCATCAGTGCGGCTTCAGGGGCCTGGTTCGCAGTGCCTCGTAAGCGACTTCAATATCCAAGTGCTTATTGATCGAGTTCTGTTTTGAATGCCAGGCTTCAATGAACTCACGTGCTTGCCGGCTTTTAGCCCTTCCGAGGATGCTGGCATGCTCAATGTCGAATCGATGGTTCTCAGCATCCATATGCACTGACATCAGGGAGTTCTGGTCGTGGCGACGTTTGGCTAGGCTGTGTTCGTGTAGCCTTGTGCCAAGCTTCCTCCCAGTCTGTCCCACGTAGTATTTGTCGCAATTCAGGCAGCAGATCTTACAAATCACACCAGTTTCTTCTTTTTTGCTAAGTTTATCTTTTACTTTGAAGAGTTTACTGCGAATTGTTTCTGTTGGCTGGTGTGCAACTTTGACTCCAAAAGGCAATAAAAGCCTCGCTGCCATTTCAGAGATACCGTTGAAATAGGGCAGTGTTGTTCTCTTTTCAGTTGTTGCATTTGTCGAGGTGTCTCGAGCAACCTTTCCTGTAGCGAGGCAGCGTAGAATGAAGCCTTTTGGATACGAGTTCCGTTTGAACAGATTGAAGAGATGATCTTCCTCTGCCCGTCTCAGCTGCGGTGTGCTACAGTGGGTTTGTGCTCGTTTGAAAAGGTTTTGCACGCAGCTGCGTTTGTGGGCTGCCGGATGAGTGCTGCCATAGTTGAGGATCTGGTCCGTATGCGTAGATTTTCGGTAGACTGTTGTTTCCAATCGTTCAGCACCAGTCCTTCGCATGAGA